CAAATAGTTAGAATGCCTATTATAAATACAAAGTGTGTATGCACTTTAAATTTTTTCTTTTCATGATGTAACCTCTGAACGAGTACTAGACCCCGGGTCTACTAAAGGGTTTAAAAATTGGTGGAATGAAACAGACCCAAGTCTTGTATATGAACTTTTACGGTAAGTGAACGAAATCAAACCTAAAAGAAAACGAATAGATTACAGAACCTAAAATTGGTCAATCAAATCTACAGACAGAACGTTAAACCCCTTATTAATTGAAGAATCACTTATATTAATAGCTACATTGCTATATGTCTTAAAGTTTTGAAGAATGAAAGCAATAAGTTTTCATTACTACTCATTGTTAAAAAAATAAAAAATTATACTGATTTGATTTTATCAGTTAAGACCTGAACTGTTACATAATTGAAAATCGAAAACTCACTATAATTAGTCATGATTAGTTGTCACATATTTTTAATTATTTTTATTAGTATCTATAATCTCAATCCTTGGGCTGAAATATACATTGTATTAATTACTAAATATATATAGTGCACGAACTTGTTAAAAACGAATGGGCTTGGTGGACAAAAAAAAAAATTATTTACAAAAAATTATCTCGCAAACGATTGATCAGAATTATATGATTTTGGTACCATTTGATTAATATCATCGAGACAAATGGTACACAAATCATGTGTTCTGACCGATAATTCGCGAGATAATTAATTTTTGTAAAGATTTTTTTGTCAATTTCGTCCCTTTTTCCAGCGCCAAGCCCAATGATCAGGTAACACGAATCATAATGACCTTAACTGGCCAATTAGATTGTTTTAAAAGGACAGACGCTTAAAATTTTAGTATATATATATATATATATAGTATAGATATTTCAATAGTTTAATCACAAAGATTTTCAAAAAAGAAAAAAGTTATTATCTTTATTTTTAATTTAACAGCTATAACTACGTTATACACCTTTGATAGTTGTTTTTAGCCAATTCGTAAAGTATTTAACGAATAATGCATAAATGTATAATTATTTTATATACATGTTACGTCCCAAATGTAAATTTGTCTCGGAACAGCCCAGATATCAATTTACAAAATTTACTAGGCGTATGACTTAAATTAGGCGGTACAAATTGACATTTGAGGCACAACATTTATATTATTATATATATAAAACATAAGTATAATAGAATAGAAACATAATAAGACTACATTTACGAAATTAATTAAGAAATATTTTCATAAACAGACGCAGTAATTGGATCAAGCTTTCCAGACGAACCGGAAGCTACTACACCAGACGAACCATCATATGTAGAATTAGATGGCATGAAAATAACTTTAGTTCCTGCAGCTTTTGACATTGATGCCATTGTTTCAAGATAACGGATTTGCTATTAAGAGTGTTTAAGAAAAGATGTAAGCATAAAGAATATAATATAATAGACTGGTATAAGAATAAATTATTATTATTCGTACCATGGCAGCAGGCGAGTTCAAAAGCTCAGCGGCTTGTCTCATAAGTTTGGCAGAGTCAACTGATTTAGCAAGTATAGTTAGCATGAGCATGTATAATTTGGTTTGTATTGCTGATATGACAAAGATACTTTACCTTCAGCTTGCGCCAAAATAACTCTGCTTTCACCAATTCTCTTTTGTTGCGCGGCAGATGAAAGAGAAGCTTGTAATTCAGGAGAGAATACAAGGTCACGAATTAAGATGCTTTCAACCTTGAATGAAAGTAATGAAATGAATAACATGTTTTCATGGATGTTATTTTGAGAATTTATGAGTATGTAAAGATGGAATAAAAGATACCTTGACACCCCACGCATGAGCAGGTTCATCAATGATTTCTTTAATTTCATATGCGATTGCTTCACGGTTTTCAATACAATCTTGAAGAACACGTGCACCAAGAGCGTGCCTTAGTGTAGTTTGAGTACTATGATAATGCAATGTAAAATTCGTAAACTTATTTATATTCCGAGAACCCGATTTCCGAATTATAATACCTACCGTTCTATAAGAGCTTTGCGAACGTCAGTTACACAATAAACTGCTTGATAGGGATTGATTATATGCCAATAGATAATAGAATCAATTTGGATATATACATTATCCTACATGATACGTACAGTATGGTCAATTGAGTGTGAATGACTCATTATTCAAATGAACATAACTATACCTTTGTCATAATGGCTTGTCTTGGAATCTCTGTGATTTGTATCTAATTAATATATGTTTTACATTATTTTAAAATTCAATAGAATTTAAATTGATACTTTCTGTGAATAATTAAAACTAGTTAATTACCTTAACGTCAACTTTTATGAGATCTTCAGTAATAACATTCACTTTAACTAAACCAGGATCAACAGCTTTATAGTATTGACCTATCATAAACAGAAAATTGAGTTATTACAATATATATCAAACAATGAATAAGATTATTACGCAACTTCGTTTGGCATACCAAAACGTGAAATTAATCCAACATTTCCTTGCTCAACATTTTTATAAGGATTAGGGAAGCAACAACAAATCAATGGAATCTAATTATATCCGTATATGTTAAAAAAAAAAAAAAAAGTACTTATGCGCAAGCTACACGAATACTGTAACAAGTGCTTACCGATCCCATAAATCCACAGAATGTACCCAAGCCATTCATCATAGTAGCATAAAAACCATGTGAATTATTTTTAATGGGATGTTCCGAGGCATACGAAGCTTGCATTTGCGAGACATTTGACGGCTTTATTTAGTCAATGCCACAATAATTTATTAGCTCATGTATTAAAATTTTTATTGAAAATTATGAAGCATAAGTTTGTTTTTGAACCTGTGAAGTAATAATTCCATCGTGAGCGCTGTTACCGGAAGGCTCACTCGAGTCTAAATCTATTTTCTTTCCGGACATGTTTAATTACAACAATTTTTCTGAAGAAAAATGAAGATATTTGTTGTACTAATAGTTTGAATAAAAAGTCGGTCCCGTTATTTAAACATTGAATTCAATTCATTACAAGAGTGAAACGACCTTGTATGAAAATTTTAACAATTTCAATCAATTTATATTGTAACGTGGGTATCAAACATACCGATAGCACAATAAAATCGTATAACCCTAAATATATTATGTCACTTTTTTTGGCAGATTATTTCTGCATTAGCGATAGCGTTGCCTAGAAAATTACCGTATTGATATTGGTTGTAATCTAAAGTGTCATTTGGTTTACAACTTCGTGTAACAATGGAGAAAAATGATCAAATTGGGAAATTAGCGGAATTTAGAAGTTATATACCTTAGTCAGAACTTTTTTATTTACCCTTATTTGAAATACGTACATCAATACGTACTGTATACAAATACGTATACATATCCTCATGACTATTTTAGATATACATTAGGTTTAGTTTCAAAGCAAGACATCAGGCAATTTATGGCTTGATTGTGAAGGTAGAGATGGAACTAATAATGCAATTCATGCTTTACAAGCCATCATTGTTTTAATTCGAATTGTGTCTACCTCATAACACATGATAAAGTCCATAAGTGTCTTATCATCTGGGGTCTTTGCCTTGAAAATGACCTTACGGTACATGATACCGTAAGGTCATTTTCAAGGCAAAGACCCCATCTGTCGGACGTATAAGCAGATAGCCGTGTATAATAATAAACTTTAACAGCTAGACAGATCCATCACACACCTTCAGATGAAGGTTCATTCATACCTAGAATTTACTCCTATCAGATTTTCTTTTCGTAATTTATTTAAGCATTTTAAGTACGTACCGTACAGTCAATCATCTGTCTATTTGGCATTGTATTCGTCCGAAATTCGATGGTATCGGAGAACACCAATCAAATTTTGAGAATACAAATAAGTTATTAAGTATGTTTGAGAACATTAAATAATTATTTTGATATTAAATAATTTTAATTTTTCTATATGGGGAAAATTTTTGAGAAATTAATAACTTGAATAATGTTCTTATGAGAAAATGGGGACACATTATTTACGAAATTTTTTATGAGGTTGTACGGGTTTTATGAAAATATCTTACACATAGTTATGTAACAATAACGATTGACTAAAATTCTTCATTTTTATACGTGAAATTTAATGTAATAGTTTTAGTATTACAGTTAAACCTCCCTAAGTGCATACCCTCTCTAAATGCACGCAACAGTTTGGTCCCAAGCTTGGGACTTAGAGTTTAGTGCACGCCTCTAAATTCTGCAGGTGCAAGAGATTTTGAACCCGAGACTTAGTACGTGCACCTCTCTAAATGCACACACGTGATTATCATCCAATTATAATTAAGAATTCTTATATAATAATAATTCTTATTACTGTATTAGATAAAATGATTATAATTGACTAATTATCACATGACTCTTGCCGGCTTCTTTTTACATAAATGCATATCCCTCTAAATGCACGTTTATGTTTGGTCCTCAGAGTGTAGGTTTGCTGTATTAGAAACGCTAGATTTCACTAGGCTGCAAACCAAAAATACCGTTCCTGATGGATCGTCTTGATGGGATGAAAAAAAAATTGATTCCTGATAGGATTCTTAAAGAAACCCCGAAGCTAATTTCTCATGAAGTTGCTTATTTATAATGCGAATGCTAAGTCACGACCCGTGATTAATTCACATTATTCCAACTTGCCTAAATATTGGCCTTAAAATAATACAGTACTGTATCTAACGCGAAATAACTTCCATAGGCGTTATTCGAGACACGTAATTTGAAGAGAGCTAATAATTAATTTAGCAAAAGAATTATTAACATTAAAATTATGGTTGTATTCTGTTAAATTAACTCTCTTCATAAAAAATGCCCATAGGCGTTATTTCGCAGCGAATTCAGTAAGAATATTTGGATTGAAAAACTTTACTAATTTCCTTTTTTTTTTTTTATGTTACGCATTGATCTTATAATCTGGTTGAGCAGTAACAGTGGACTGCCAAATTTTTATATTATTTCGACAGTAGTGTAGTTTCATCCATCAGGAACAGTACCGACGATTCATCAGGAACGGTACGTTAGGGTGTTACCTCAGTCAGGGATCATTTATCATTTAAATAATCAATGATAAACCAATGTCTCGGCGTCACTCATATGAAGATCATTAATTTCAAGCTATTTTTTCAACAATTTATAAAAATCATTCAATTATTATATAATTGTTAAATATTAATTATATATTTAATTAATTAATGATCTTCATATGTTACTCTGACTATGTTTGATTTTAGGTAGTACATAAATCGATTTTTTTTTCATCCATTAGTGAACGGTATTTTTGCGATAATAATCTTAGGTATCGCCACCCAAAGGTAATATCGGGTGTAGTATGTGGCGCATTATCATCAATGAAATTATAAATCATTTTAAAATATTTTTATATAATGCTGTGGTGTACACTAGACATGTTAATTTCTTATATAGCTGTAATACATATTTACGTATACAAGAGATTTTTAAAATTAATTAGTTTTATAAATTTGTTAAATATTTTTTTTTGAAATAGCGCCAAGCTCTCCACATGATCGATCAAGCAAATTCACGATCAAGTGTAACATAGCACAATCAGGAAAATCCAGATCATAATTTCATATATGAAACTACTCTAACAAAAAATTTCCTTGGAAATCTTTACTATAGAGCTCTCCTCCTTGTCCATACACTAATCTCACCTCACTCTAACCCTAACTAACAAAAGAAAGCAGTTTATTTTGATTTCACGTCACACCTGATTTTATGATCTGTAGTAGAGACTAGGGTTGTGGTTAGGATTTAGCCATATTGACGTTCGGGACTTAAACTGTTAAATAAAAGTATTGAGTACATAAAAATATTGAAAATAAATGCATAGTTAATATGGAATTTTTAAATAAACTACGCAAGATTTATATGACTGCTCAGATATGATGTATTGTGAAGTACAAAGAAAAATTACTTGAGTAAGAAAGGAATATAAAATGTAACAGGAGAAACCGTCCAAATATAGATATGATTTTCGTTCTCCATTACACAGTATCGACCAGTCAAAATATCACTACGGGATTAGTCAACCAATCAAATTGCGAAATTTACAAA